AGAGAGTCAGCATATTGCCCCCAACAATCTGGGTCCTCATTTTACCCACCTCGGAAGGATGGAAGGCTGAGTCAACCCTGAGCCGGTGAGATTTGAACCGCTGAACTGCTGATCTAGCAGTAGCCTGCAGTGCTGCATTTAACCACTGCGCCACCTTGGCTCGTGATATCAGCTATATTGTCAAGGAATCTGTAAAGATTGAACAGCTTTGCTTCTTTGTCCACCCTCCCCTCCATTGCCTCAACGCCTGATGAGGAGAGGGCAGTTCTGCTTCTACCCCCCCCATGCGAAAATCCACATGCCATCACTGCTTGCCTGCTGCGTCCCCCTCAAAGCCCCTGCAATCACCCATCGCCCATCACACCTGCCAGGCAGAAGCCCCATAGTCCTAAAGGTCCCATTCCATCTCTTTGCCATCATCTTCCTTCCTTTGCACTCAGAAAGGGACAAGGGCAGAGAGAGAGATTGACAGTATTGCTTTCCCACATGGGGCGGGGTGCTGATCTGATATCTGCCATCTGAGCTGGATTGCAGCCAGCCTTAAATCTGTGCCATTGCCTCAACCCCATCTGTAAAATCCTTGAGGCTACGCTGATGCCTGAGGACATTGTGGGCTGCTGCTTGGCCCTGATTGGCTAAGATGCGAGCAGCCAGCCAACAGGAGAATGCTGCCTCCCTATTGGTCCATGCGTCTGACAGCTCCTATATAAAGAGCTGTCAGATGGCAAATGTTGTTGCCAGTTCGAGAGTTGCCTTGCATTTTGCCTTGTTAACTTGTTAGAATAAAGGTTGTTTTGTTACTGTGCAACCTGCTTTGCCTCAGTTCCTGCCTGCCTAGTTCTCCACTGGTGACAAAGTTGGGATCAGGACTGAAGTAAAGGCTAATCTAAGTCACGAATAAGAGCTGAGGCGCATTAGTTGAGCGCTGCCCTCATGCCACAGGTGATGAGACGTCACTCCAAGGCTATGTCCCCAGCATCCCGTCCTTCAAAGCCCACGTTGTTGACTTTCAACCCGGCCACTGAGACCTGGGATGCCTACCTTGAACGATTCGAGTGCTTCTTGGAGGCGAATGACTTTACTGAGTTGTCCAGTGGCCGTAAAACAGGTTATTTCCTTAGTTCTTGTAGGCATGAGATTTTTGGAACAGCTCAGGCTCTAGCCACCCCTCAGCCAGTCCACACCTTGCCCTGAAAGATGCTTCTGGAGAAGCTTAAAAATCATTACTCTCCAGCTCTCTCATGCATAGCCGGGTGGCAAGCTTTCTTCCAGAGGACCCAAGGAGAAGGGGAGTCCATCAATGAATATATGGCCTCCCTCTGGACACCCACACTTTATTGTGACTTTTGCAAGCTGGATGATGTTCTGCAGCTCCAGCAACAATTGCTGGCAAGGACCGAGTTGAACCTCCAGACAGCTATGGATGAAGCCAGAGTGTCCGAAATGTCAGCTAGGTCAACCACAGAGATCCAGCGGTTCAAGCCACTGGCCACCCCTGCCAGCAAGAGTCAAGCCATCCACTATGAAGTAGATGATGAAGACGACACCACAGATGATGAGGGGAAAGTGAGTCACTTCAGAATGGCCACAGGAAAAAAATGGACTCCATCTGTCATTTTACCTCAGGCGAGCTGTCTGAGTTGTGGTGGGAACCATGCCAGGTCAACCTGAAGGTTCAAAGCCACAATCTGCCATTGATATGGCAAGAAAAGGCACCCTGGCCAGTCTGCAGAGCTGCCCTGCCAACCTCTGACTTGCCAGCAGAACCAAAATATGCAAAGTGGTTTGTCAAAAAAACCCCAAGATGTCATGAAGACTGTTTCAACTATTTCTAGGGACAAATGGCTGCCTGAAGTGGCTATCAGCCACACCTCCCTGACCAAGTCCAGCCACAAAATTTACCTCATGGTACAACTAGAAGGAATGCTCTGCAAAATGGTTCCTCCAAGTCTTTGGTTTCCTGGGCCACTATCAAGCGGCTAGTGCCCAGCTTGTCAAAAAAGCAGCTCAAACTGTGCCCTATAAGACTGAAAGACTATCACAGGCAATTAATACCAATTTTAGGCTGCAGCACCTTCAACATTACCAGCAAGACCTTCCAGGGCCATCTCCCACTCATTATCGTCAATGGCAACCTGCCAAGCCTCCCGGGGCTTGTCTGGTTTTCTGCATTGGGGCTCAACATCTCCAGCATCCATGCCACCATTCCTGATGCCCTCAGCATGCTTTCCAATGAATTCACAGACATCTTTGACAGCAGGCTTGGTAAATATAAATTCAATTTGGACCCCCAGATACTGCCAATCTGCTTGAAACCTTGGATAATGCCTTTTGCACTCCACCCCAAGCTGGATCTAGAGCTAGACAAATTAATAGCTCAAGGAGTTCTTGAGGCTGTTGACCATTCCAAGTGGGAGACCCACATAGTGATACCAATTAAGCAGGATGGCACTATCAGGATCTGTGCTGATTATAAATGCACAATAAATAAAGCCCTTCAAGCTAACCCATACCCTGTGCCTTTGGTGCAACATTTGCTCCACTCCTTGGGCCAGGGAAACATTTTTGCCAAGATTGACTTGGCAGAGGTGTACCAGCAGCTTCCGGTCAATGAAGCCCAGTGGCTTCATGGCTCAAATGATCGTTACGCAATGGGGAGCTTTTAAATGCAAATGCCTCCAATTTGGGGTTAGCATAGCCCCGGGCATCTTTCAGAGCCTGAGGGAGTGGATGCTTCAGGGGCTACCAGGGGTAGTACCCTATTTTGATCAGGTGCTGATCTCAGCCACCGATCAGGCAAAACTCATCAGTAAATTGAGGGCAGTCCTGGCATGCTTCAGATGCTTAAACGTAAGTGGGAAAAGTGTAAAATAGGGGTTCCCCAGGTAGAGTTTTTGGGGTATCTCATTGACTCCAAATGGCTCCAACCCTACTCCATATAAGGTAGAGGCAATAAAAAAGTGCCAACGCCCTCTACTAAAACTGAAACGGCTCAGGGTTGACTCAGCCTTCCATCCTTCCGAGGTGGGTAAAATGAGGACCCAGATTGTTGGGGGCAATATGCTGACTCTCTGTAAACCACTTAGAGAGGCCTGAAGGCCTATGAAGCAGTATATAAGTCTACTGCTATATTGCTATTGAATTGCAGGCTTTTGGGGGGCTGCTTAATTTTTATGCCATTTTTTCTTGCCACACAGGCTTCACTAGCAGAGCCTCTTCATAGGCTGCTGGATTCCAAAATGCCATGGCATTGGGGCCAAAGGGAAGCCCACACTTTCAAGGCTGTTAAGGATATCCTTTTTTCCAAGGCATTGCTGG